TTCAGTCCCCTCCATCCCCTCAGTGTAACACCCTGCTGGCCTTTCATCCCCTCCATCCCCTCAGTGTAACACCCTGCTGGCCCTTCAGTCACCTCCATCCCCTCAGTCCCCTCTATCCCCTCAGTGTAACACCCTGGCCTTTGAGTTCCCTCTATCCCCTCAGTGAACACCATGGTTTTTCAGTCCCCTCCATCCCCTCAGTGTAACACCCTGGCCTTTCACCCCCTCCATCCCCTCAGTCCCCTCCATCCCCTCAGTGTTACTCCCTGGCCTTTCATCCCCTCCATCCTCTCAGTCCCCTCCATCCCCTCAGTGCAACACCCTGCTTGGCCTTTCATCCCCTCCATCCCCTCAGTCCCTTCCATCCCCTCAGTGTAACACCCTGGCCTTTCATCCCCTCCATCCCCTCAGTGTAACACCCTGGCCCTTCAGTGCCCTCCATCCCCTCAGTGTAACACCCTGCTGGCCCTTCAGTCACCTCCATCCCCTCAGTCCCCTCCATCCCCTCAGTCCCTTCCATCCCCTCAGTGTTACTCCCTGGCCTTTCAGTCCCTTCCATCCCCTCAGTGTTACTCCCTGGCCTTTCAGTCCCCTCCATCCCCTCAGTGTTACTCCCTGGCCCTTCAGTGCCCTCCATCCTCTCAGACACTCTGCTGGATCCCCAGCAGAGTTCTGCACGCAGGGAATGAGGGATATGGGTGCAAGGGGTGCTGCTTTTCATGTTTGCCTGAGAATAGGGTTAGGGGGTATTTTCTCAGCTGCTCCCACACTCCTGTCAGAAACACCCACCTCCCTCAAAAAGTTAAGTCCATGGGAACTTAGTTAAGACCATGTGGTTCTCATAGATCTCATAGATCTCACTCCCTCTACTCCTCTGGCCTGGAAAAGCAGCCACACAACCCAGACTCTGAACCCATTGCCCCCTTGACTTCCCATCCTAAGGGGAAACCTTTCCCAGCTGCATTCCTTGCTGCTTGGGTGTCCTAAACAGTGCAAGCCCCTCCTTGGTGTTAGGGCCAGGGGCTGGGCTCTGCCCCATCCCTTCCCCTGGAGTTTCTGGGAGCTGCAGGCTCCTTTCCCAGGCATGGGGAGTGGCACAGACTCCATGGACAGGGGGACTGCAAGCAGAGCAAACCCCTTTGACCTCAGCCAGGTTCTTTGGCTGCTGGTTTGTAGAGCTCCCCAGGGAGCAGTGCCCTTTTTAACTTGCTTCTGAAGGCTTCTGTTGGTTTCTTTGCTGCTTCAGAGGCTTCGGAGATCATGAAGAGCATTGGGGAAGCCATCCAGTACCTGCACTCGATCAACATCGCGCACCGGGACGTGAAGGTACCACCCTGAGCCCCCCTGGCAGTGCCAGGGCCCAGCCCTGCTGCT